ATAAAATATTACCTGGAGGAACCTTCTTTAATAACCTTCTTCCTACGGTCATTGGCTTTTATCTTGTTTTGTTCATCGAACTTCATTCTCGACGGCTCATCTTTAGTTTCCATTTTCTATGGCTCTTCGGCTTCCACTGTGTCATAGGGTTTTCTTGGGTTTCCATCTCAGAAGGCTCGGTTTCCATCTTGATAAGTTAAACTCTAATGGTGAACTGGCGAATGTACTTCGACCGTTGAACGGAGAATCAAAACCCTAAACAGATCGCGAATGGCAAAAGAGGTGATGCGTCTGTCGGTTTTTCTCCGGAAGTATTTTTCGGTAGACCTTTCGTATTCTATTTTCGTTCAATTTATTCAGAGCGCTCGGGCGGGAGTAAAATCGGGTCCCACGTAATAAAAACATTTTTAAATTTTAAGGAATACTCGAATGTTATCGTAATACAACCATACTAATACTCGACTTAATAAAAACATAATAACACAACAACAAAACCACGATAACATCGAAGTGCACTACAAAAATACCGCGGTTGCAAAACAAGCTAATAACATCAGTACCATCACAATAACACTCGAATAATACCATAATACAACCATACTAATACATCATCGTGATATTAATAAACAGAACTGTTAATAACACTTTAATCACACCGCAATAAAACAATAATATTACATAACGAAACATATAACAATAATACTTGAATAATTCACTAATAATATCACGATATTATTGGCAGTTGAATAAACATAGCGAAAATATAACAATAAACACCGTTTAATACATCTATGACATCTATGACAGTCGCATCAATAGTATTAAGCAAATGGGAGGTCGGTCCGTTGGCTTGTAGATTCAGCTCCAACTCTGTTGGTTAAATTTGTGGGCAATGAGATTAGAGTTATTTAATGACTCATTGAGGGATTAGTTAGAGTCAGTGAAGAAGCTGAAAATTGCAACATATGTAATATTCATTTTAGTGGAAGAGGGAGTTCATTGACTGCTCGGAGGCAATGAGATGGAGTTATTTAGTGATTCAGCTAATCTTGAAAAATAAGCAGTCGAAAAATCATTCACATAAATAATCAAAAGTTGATTAAGAGAGTTTCAAACTGTTCGCTCGTCTAAAGTTGAGGTAGTTATAAAATCTGATGTAAATGCTGGCGATGTGATTTTTATTGGGTAATTCAAGGTAATGTCATTAAATATTCGTTTTAGTAGACACGTTCGTTTTACTATAGTGTTCGTATTTAAATGAACCAGTTAGAACACCAGTCACATGAGACTTAAGAAGTTCAAAACATCATAACTTACAATAACATTTTATTCTTTTTCCACAATTTAGCAAACACATTACCTTGAATTACCCAATAAAAATCACATCGCCAGCATTTATATCAGATTATATAACTTCATCAACTTTAAAGGTGCGAACAGCCTGAAACTTCCTCTTAATCAACCTTTGATCATTGATGTAAATGATTTTTTGGCTGCTTATCTTTCAAGATTATCTGAATCACTAAATAACTCCATCTCATTTCTTCCGAGCAATCAAGGAACTCTCCCTTCCACTAAAATGAATATTACATATATTGTAATTTTCAGTTTCTCCATGATTCTAACAAAGCCCTCAATGAGTCATTAAATAACTTTATCTCATTGCCCACAAATTTGTATCAAATGGTTCAAAAAACAGTACTTGTTTTGTTCACCCTTATTACTCCTTCTCTGCATGCAATGATTTAAGTTATAGAAATGCAATGTTCTAAAGAGAAATAAATTTTCAAAATACGAACACTATAGTAAAACGAGCGCGTCTACTAAAACGAAAATGACAATAACACCATAATCACATAACAATAAAATCACAAAAACGAAGCAATAAAATTGTCTTCAACAGTACAATGACACAACAATAAAATCATAATAATACCACAATAGCCCCACTATAACACCAACATCCCTTATTAACAAAAGTAACACGAGAATACTGTCAAGATAATACCGTGGTAACACTTAACACCATTACCCCGGCCTAAATGCAAGCATAACGTAAACAGTTACAACGACAACAACTTCGAATAAACTGAAAACCACAAAAGTAACACTCCGATAAACCCAGTGAAACAACTGGTTAAACACAAGTAATAAGACAAATGCCAGAAGTATCCCTCCGATAAACAACTAAAGTAACTATTAAATCAATTAATTAAATCTCCAATAAACCCAGACAAATGCCAGAAGTATCTATTAAATCAAAAAATAAAACTCGCACAAACCGTAGAACCCAAACCGCAACAATGTGTTTAAGATGAAAAAAACGTTCTGAGCGAAGCTAAATTCACTTGGATCTGGAAGTCGTTGTCGTTGTCTTCATCGAGAGAGCAATCCATTTCGGCAGCTCCAAACCCTAAAGTGGGAAAATAAAAGATGGGGGAAAATCCAGGATAGGGCCTTTATGCTTTTCATTTTTCAAAAAAAGGAGAGTCGGGTAGGGTCGGGCCGCAGGAGTTAAAAAATAAGGAATTTACATATTTTGTAATAGTGGGGTCGGATTCCACGTGGTATTTTCTAATTGATCATCGCATGCAGACTTCCATACGTTGCATGCATAGAATAATTTTTCGCACAAGGGAGGGGGTTCCACTGTTCATAACTCCCTAACCCAGATAAGATAGGTGACACATGTGATAAGTGAGAGACACTAACTTAAGAAATTGAATAGTGTTTAGATGCATTTCAATTTTATTTAGTTGGGTCGATTGTATTTTGGAACTTTGAAGTTATTTTGTTTTAGTTTAATTTGTGTTTTGCATTAAATTAAGGTTAATTAATTAACTTAATTTGATTTAGTTTAATTTTAATTAAGTTAATTATGATTTAAGTAATAAACTTAGGGTGCGTTTGGAGCAGCTTGTGTTTGTCCTGAAACATGACCGTGGTCTGCGTTTAGTGTAAAACCCAACCGTGTTTTCGGATAAGCTGCTGAAACGTGTTTTTCAAACGGTGAAGCAGCGTTTTGAAAATGTCGTTCGCACTTATAAGCTGCCCCAAACGGGTCTTTAATTTTGTTTAAGTTAAATGTTTAACTTAAGTTTGGGTTGAAGCTCAAATTTATCTTAGCTTACGGTTTAATGAATTTAATTCAATTTAGTTTGAGTGCTTTTTGGTTTTATATTGATTTATTTGAAGTTAATTTAGTTTAATTTTATTAAGTTTAGTTGATTGAAGTTGTATCGATAACTTCTTTTAATTTCTTTTATTAATATCTATTTCATTCAAGTTTAGGTTTACTTAGTTCATTTCATATCGAATTAGTTTCAATGTTAGTTTGATTTAAATTTAATTTAGATTTGAATTATTTTTTTAAATTTTGTTTGAATTGACTTTAATTTAGCTTGATTTGTTTTGAATTAATTTTGATTCAAATTTTATTTGATGTTAAGTGATTTTATGATTTTGATTTGAACCAAACCTAAACCCATCTCAACCAACCAAAGTCGTCAAGTCAAGCCAAGACCAATCACCTGAAGAGAGCGTAGGGCTAGATATGAGAGTGGTCAAGAGAAGAATGTCTACAAAAATGAGGTCAACGGTCAGTTATTAATGCTACTTTATTAGTTTATAAAGATTTATTTCTAGAATACCAAGAACCAATATTTGGTCGGTTTCTCTGTTCTAGTCTTTTTATCCATTCTAAATTATTATGATTCTTAATAAAAACCCTTGGTTTGATGCTCTGCTTTAGAAGTCTAGTTATTTCTGTAATTGCTCCTTTCATAGACTCTCTCTATCTCTCTCCTTCTTCACAGTTATATTTGTTTTGGGATAATTACTTAAACAACACTTAAAACATTGTTATGTACAAACTTAGCACCCATGTGATTTTTTTGAACTATAGAACCATTGCATTTACGCACATCATGATCAGACCATTGAGAATTTCATAAAAATGCAATATATCAGTTGTGTTTTATCATGAATTCTCTCTCTCTCTCTCTCTCTCTCTCTCTCTCTCTCTCTCTCTCTTCTTCACAGTTATTTTTGTTTGGGGACAATTTAACTTCAATGTGATATACATGTGCCTTATTCAAACTATTCGGGGTTGATATTATTAATTCTCATTTTTTATTTGTTTGGTTGTATTTTCTTTGGAGTGTTGAGCATTTTTTTGTAAATCATTTTAAGCAATTATATGCATGTAATATTGGATTAGTTTTATTTTCTCATAATCTCTTTAGCGGCTCCTCTATCAAGTACATTTCTTACCTTTCATTTAACATATCAAACGGCGCCTAAGTTTGTTTTCTATCACTATATCCTCAACAAATATTATTTTTTACATTGATAATTGCATACAAACCGCTCGACACATTGATTTTACAAATTATGCACCCCAATGATTTTTTTTGAACTTCTAACCAACATATTTACACGTGCCACGATCAAGCTATTGAGAATTTGATAAAAATGAAAAATATTGGGTAGGATTTTACCGTGAATTTTGATATTTGAGTGAAAATTTGAAAAGTGTATGATAGAGGCGGTTAATTTGTAAATAGCAAGTTTTGGGTGGTCTGTGTGTAATTGCCACTTTTTACATTTTTCATTTAACATAATCTTTTCTAATTTTGTGACACGTTCATCTTCAAATTTTTGTTTTTTTTCACGTTCTATTTGGATATCAACTGTTTTTTTATAGCCCAACATTGGGATCCATATAAATTTCAAGACCATAATTATCATTATTTATCATATATGCTACTGTCAAATATTATGAATTATAAGCAAATGTGGTGGACAATTCCCACTATCTCTGTTGCAAATTAGTAGTTCTAGTATGATGCTTTGTATTGTAATTACTAATTTACATGTGAAGCACATAAATATGTTTTATGACAATGTCAATATTGCATTGTTTATGCCCTTTGCTTGAAATTCTCACTTTCATATATTGCCTTGTAATTCATGGATTAAATTCCTTGACTAGCTATCACCTCCTCTCATCTCTGTATTAAATAAGCCAATTGAGGAAGACAGGTGGGATATTCCAGATGTCCCTATGGAAGAGGATTAAAGGTATATTATTAGTCAGTTTTGATTAAAATGTCTCAATTTTATAGTCAAAGCGGACATTTACATGCATACCACTCAATTCCTATGTATCCCTATGTATCATATCTAACACCTAAACTTTATCTTCTACATTTATATGATCTAAATCTTTCATACCTTTTAACTTTTAAATAGTGGAAAATACCTTTTCATGCATAGGTGAGGCGGCATCTTCATAAAAATTGGAAGTTAGAGATGTAAATACATAAGAATTAAGTGGTCTGTTTGTAATCCTTCCATTCTTTTTTTTTTATTGTTTCAGTTCTTTTTTGCTTCAAAGGTGTAAAACTGATTCTTTGAAATTTTAGCAGATGTTCTCGCTGCCGCCAACTTGGTTTAATTGAGCTTGGCTTCCCGACACTGAACGTCAATGTTGATGCACAAGTGTTTGGACTTTTTTGCAGGAATTTCATAGTTTATGCATTTAATTGAAATGTTTATTGGTTGAAATTTCTGGATTGAAGTTATATTTGAGCTGTATAATTTATGTGGGTATGCTGTATAGTTTATGCATTGCTTATCATTTAATCAAACTTCAGGTTGAGGAGTTGTTGGACATGAAATGCATGTGGGTATGCTCTCAGGATGATTCAGTTAATGTATTCTTATTTTCTGGTAAAATTACAGGTGACTTTGGCTTCCTCTGAATGCTTGTGCTGTTAATGTTCCATCTCAATTTGTTTTGGAATATTTCCTCTTGATTATGTCATGAACAAATTTTTAGTGTTCGATGTTAATTTTAAGGCATTTTTTTTAGCAAAAATAGAGGATACATGCTCAAATCCAAGATTATTGTGAGATTTAATTTCAGCAAGCGAAATTTGGTCAAATTGAGTCTTATCAAGCTCGGATCTAATCATTCAAGTATATTTGGAGTTGCAGGATCATTAATTGGATGGTAAAATAAACTTTAAATCTGATATATGAGAAATCCAATGAGATTAAACTCCCTTAAATTTGAAGTCATTACGACTCTTAAATTAAAAAAAAAAGAAATTGTATGATTAAAGAAATCGATGAGTCAATCAATTAAGTGATTTTTAATAGTTATTTGTCAATAGATCAAATATCTCTCTCTTAATGGTTATAAATAGATTCACCTTCTTCATTTAAACGGTTTCAGTGTTGTTTTGAACTGAAAATTTAATTATAACTTTTGGCCTTCGAAGTCACCCATCACAATTAAATATCGCCTATCGTTTGCCATCGATCACTACCACACACTCTTTGCTCACGGTTGTTGGTGAGTTATGTTATGTAATGATGTATCGTCGAATACTGTGTGATGAAGTATTTTGAATATGATGTAATCGAGTATCCCAAATATGTTGTAATGTATAACGTTACATAACAACTCCGACGATAACTTTCGATAGCAACTACTTATAACCACCATATTCACAATTGAGTGTTTTTTCATACTAATGAAATTTACGTCCATTGTGCGGATAAGCGTTGTTTTTGGTGTGGTGTTGTAACCATTCATTTTCATTTATGAGATAAGGGTATCTCTATAATATACATTTATAATAAATTATTTTAATTGGGTTAGATTTTGTGATTTTTTTTTTCAGAAATTTTTTTTTTCTAGTAAAAAGATATAGTGATTTCTGCTGTTATTTATATATTATCCGTTTGCGTGTGGGTTCTTCATACAATATTGATATGTTAAATTATCACGCTACCTTAGTTACACACAACAGTTTGCCGCTGACTATGGGAAACAGAGTCCTGTTAGTATAAATTTACACACTTTTGAAGGCCAACAAGTGCAATACACGAGCTTATTTTTCTGACACCAGTCATTCCAAGGTACGGTCTCTAATCCTAAACTCCATTTTTTTAATAATATGCATTACCCTACTAGTGAAGATGTTTCTTATTTGCCCTTTGAAGTCTGCATTTGGAGTGGATGAATCTCAAAATGAGATTCTTTAGCTTCTATATGAAACTAAACAACCAATAGTAGCTCAAGTGGGTAAGGTCATCTACCCTAAGATCATCATCACTCAAAGATCCCTAGATAGATGGTGCTCCATCGACAATCCCTTTTCACATTGGAGTTCTTTCTCAACTGGGTCGGGAAACATATTTCTTAAATATTACTAATTTCACCCATCCATCTTGTATGGCGAGACCAAATTACAACCCTTCAACACTCTTAGAGAACTTAGCTCAACTGTATCCTGTAATTCATGATAAACTACGAAGTATGGTTAAAGAAGAACTTTTTTAAGAGAATTTATTTTCTTACACGTGGTAGTTCTCATGAATCCTTGCCCTTAGACATATGGTGCTCCAGCACCCCATTCTGGTAAGATTCAAGCATCCAAGCACCAACTGTTATGATAGGACCTTTGACCCATGTGAACATATTGATTAATATAGAACCATCATGCATATACAACGAGACGTTGATGCGCTCCTTTGTCAAGTTTTTCCGACCACCCTTAAAGGTCATGTGCGTACTTGGTTCTATTCCCTCCCGAGAGGAATTATTCACACTTTCGATGAATCTATTGGTGTCTTTATAGAGAAATTTATAACAATTCGAAGGATAATTTAAGACTTATCAATTTTTGTAACTCGTCAAAATGAAAGAGGGTCACTTAAATAATATTTTTAAAGATTCTTCGTTGAGGCTCGTCAAATTCCATGACTGGATCTAGGGTTACCGACATTTTTCCTTGGCCCTTTTACTCATCATTAATACGGGAGACAGTTTGTTCTCACACCACTGTTGAATAAGTTATTCACACACATCAAAGACCGTTTGAATAATCTTCTAGCAAATACAAACACTCTTAGATAAGATGCACATGTCTCCTACGGAAAGAAACAAACAAAGTCAAAAGACCAAAAACACTATCAATTTGAGACATTCCAAAGCCACTACAAAATCCAAATGGTGAGGGTCAATCTCAATATTGTCATTTTAAACATTCAAAATGATTCGACGGAAGGGTGCGGGTGCACAGTATCGCTTGGGTCATTATTTAAGTATAATAATTATTGAATGAATTGTACAGCTACAACATGTATTGTATTTGCAAAATACTCGTCGCTTTTATCTTAATATGAACGCTTCTAATTTAAATCTTTACAATTTATATTTTAATAAAATATATTATAAATTATAATTTAAATGTCATCACCAAGTTAAATGTATTTCTTGAAATGAAGCATTTATTGACACTTATATGCCAAATTAAATTGATAGTTTTTTAAATTATATAAATATTGTCAAAACATAAAAATTATAGCGAATAAAATGATTGAATGAAATTAATATATCACTCTTTTAAACATACATCAAATTTAATTAGATTAATTAAAATATAATTAACCTAAAATAAAATCTCAATTAATAATTAACTAATAAGTTATTATATCAATTGGGGAAAAAAATTATTAAGCTAGTAAAACTAATGTCCCATTAGTATACTAATTTTAACCAATTTATCAAGATTTTCTAAGCAATCAAATTAAATCATAGTAATGATTACAATTTAATTTTTTTAATTAATAATAAATGTTTAAAACCTAATCGGAATATTAGAATTCAAGGAGATCTACATAAAGACTGCATAATCTCTATGTATTGTTATACTATTCAACAATTAAATATTTATTTAACTAATTAATCTCCACTAATAATTTTATTAAACTAATTATATTAAATAATAAATTTACATCCATTAATTAATTCTCAATAAAAAAATTAGTAAAATAATTAATAATTATTAAATTTAATATATAATTTATGTTATAAATTAATGTTCTAATAAATATATAAATTTATTGAGTTATAATTAATTTCATAACATTTTAATTAATTATTATTTACTAAGTAAAATTAAGTTAAAGCCACAGAACCAGCTTCCCTTTCCCCTCTCCGACCCGAAACCCTCGCCGCCGACCCCCCGGTTTCGCCCAAAACCATCGCCTCCGTGATCGAAAGCTCGCAAAAGCAGTCGCGGTTAGAGCTCCGAAAGCAACGACGGATCACGACGCACAAAGACATCCCAAACTCCCATCTTTCTCCTCCTTCTGGTCCGCTCCTACGGGAAACCATTGAGGAACTTCTCCTCGTCCTCTCTCGGTCTTCCCCTGCACACCTTAGCTTCTCTAAATCCCGTTCCAACGGGATTTACTAAGTCCTGGATTTAAGGCAAAACGGTGGAAAAGCGGGATTTAACATCAATCCTGCTTAAACCGGCTACCAAAAGGCTCCGAAGATTTCCACGTTTTCTCCACTGATCGAAATTTTTTGGAGGGGCTCTTTTCATTCAAACTTGTTATGGCGAAGAAGAAGGAGAGGGCGGTTAATGTCTCGGGTAAGCCAAAGCATTCGCTTGACGTTAACCGCATCAATGGCGCAGCAGACAAAGGAACTAGGTCTGCCGGCACGGTCCGACGACTTAAGATGTACAATACTCGCCCCAAGCGAGACCGGAAGGGAAAAATCCTCCAGCATGAGTTACAATCGAAGGATCTTCCGAACACACGCATCGAGCCCGACCGCCGCTGGTTCGGTACGCCTTCTTTAAATATTTTCTCTTTTTTTTAAAGTTGGTATTTTTGTTCCGAGTCTGCGGTTGAAGACTTGAAGAGAACCTGATTGTGTGACAACTGTGTTACAACTTGTCTATTTGCTTCCGATTAGTGCGTTATTCTTAAAAATGCAATGTCCATTTGTATGATACATAAATTAAGTATCTAAATAAGTGCATTATCTTGTAAGTTTCATTCTTCAATTTCAGAACTTAGAACTGCTTTTCATAGTAGAGCGCTTGCAGATTTATAATTATCACTGTATTTTTTCACCACACTAGTTCAGAGCTGGTATGGCTGATGTTTTCTCGTTACCAATTTTTGAATGCAAACCACGATACTTTGCTGTGTACTTCTTTCATCACACTCACAAAATGGTTTCGGTAATAGATCTGATGAACATGAACATGTAACAGCGGTGCTTAAAATCTTAGTTCTGGCAAATTTGTTTATTTTTTTTTACTGAAATGCTACTGAAGCTGGTTTAAGGTGTGTATGCAGTTATTTTACGTTTGCATTTCAGTTGTCATTGAATGAGTTTGTTTAGTTTTCTATTATTTATAGGCTAATATGGCTTGTGCTTTTAGGTAACACTAGAGTTGTAAATCAGAAGGAGCTTGAATTTTTTCGAGAGGAGCTTCAAAATCGACTATCAAGCAACTATAATGTCATTTTGAAGGAGAGGAAGTTGCCACTTTCTCTTCTTAATGATCATCAAAAGGTATGATTTTCAGTTGTTTCCCTGATACCAATGCTTAGAAATTTAAAGTTATGAATTTCAAATTCATAACTATAAATTTAAATTTCTAGTTATGAATTTTCTATTGTGCTGTCTATTTAATGTCAGTGCATGCATTTTAGCTGCCCTTCTGATTGTTTTATTTGTATGCTTGAAATTACCTTTTGGTTTAGGTTTTTGAATAGTGCTGTCTCCAGCTCAATTGGATCTTTTACATGCTTCGTACTGAGAATGATTTTTTATTTTTATTTTTTTGGGGCATGCTTAGGAAGGCTATCTGATGTTCAATTTAGGGATTAATGGGAATTTATGGGAAATAATAGCAGCATTAAGGGCGGTTTCATGTCCATAATATTTTATAATAATTTTTTTTGTCTTCTTTTGGATCTATAAGCCACTAATTAATCAAAGGGAGTACATTTAGATGCAGAATTTTAAAAATGTTTTTTTTTTTTCATTCTTATGTTTTGGATTCCTATCATCACAGCAAGCAAAAGCTCATCTTCTGGATAGAGAGTCTTTTGAGGATGCTTTTGGACCAAAGAGGAAACGAAAACGTCCAAGGCTTTTAGCAGCTGACTATGAATCATTGATTAGAAAGGCTGATGGATCCCAAGGTGCATACCAGATCTGTAGCTTTTTTAGAAGGAGGCGTTCCCTTTTGCTAACAATTGCTCTTTAATTCAAACTGAAATGCTCTAGACTTACCACTCAGTGTAGGAAACTATATTTTCTGTTTTCTTAGTACCAATATTTAAATTAAAAAATAATCTTCAGAATTATTCCTACTTCAAATTTGCAAAACATTCTAGAGATACTGTTAAGTAGCTTATCGGTACTTGATGAAATTTGTTCAGAGAGCTGCAATTGATATGCTAATTATGTTTTTGAAAGTGCCGAGCTACTTTTTTTATAGCTTTTAGTTGTAACTTATAAAGTGTTCTTTTTAATTTCAAGATGTCTTATGTAATGCGTGATTGGTCGAACTTTATTGTTCTTTTGTATTTTTTTTGAAATAGTTAGGGTTGTTAATTAAGAAATGAAAGGAGCCATGGATTCTTGTGCTAAATAAAAGCTTTTTGTTCCATAAATTCTCTTGCTTAATAGGGAAATAGGAGTGTAATGGATTCATGTGCTTAATATGAAATAGTGGTTTGCTCCCTCCCCCCATCCATCGAAAATGAAAGTTTTTTATAACATTATTAATTTATAATTAATAGCTGTCAAGTATTCTTGATTTTATTTGTGAATGGGTAAAGTAAGCTTCCTAGTCATATCTTCTTTTTTGCATGTTATCATAACTAGATTATGGTTATACTTTCAATATTTATTATTTTCTCTCATTTATTATTTTAATACTTGCCATGTCTTATTATCTTTACTTCTCTTCTATAGAGTGGACCATTATGTCCGGTGAAAATCATACTAAAGGAGAATTCTAAGGGATACAAATCACCTATCATTTTAATGAAAGAAATTGCCTATAGTAGCCTCAGATTGTGAAGACCTTCTTGAAAGGAAATTGAAAAATCTATCATCTTATTGATCTTCTGTTGAATTTGAGAGATCCAAAGCTTGTACTTTGGAATTAAGTAAATTTCATGATCATTTAATGATTATAGAATACCATAATGTCGGAAATTTGTGGACCATGCATAAAGAAATTTTTGGGAAGCTGTCGAACAGTTATCTAAAAATTCAATATGATGCCCTCATCTATAAGATTGAGATGAGTAATCAACGAAGATAACCTTTTTGCCACTGAATATTTTAATACAATGAAGCCCTATCAGCTAGATTTAGATTACTACGAAGATCTTAGGATGAATTGTAGTGATAATATAGTGATTCTCAAATAATATATAGAAAGAGAAAGGTTTTGAATTTTTGGCAGGACTCAATAGTGAATTCAATCAAGTTATCATTCGGATTTTAAGCAAAGTGACCCTAACATCCCAAAATAAGGTCTTCTCACATATATGAATTGAAGAATGCCTGATACGAAAGCCATGTAAGGAATGGGATATTAAAAACATCAAGGAGTCACACGTTCTCATAAAATATTTCACTGACGTAAACATTCATTTTTTAATGTGTTGTTGATTATCTAACTATTACAGGTAATGACTATGAAAAACGGGTGATGACATTGAAGAAAATGATTTACTTCATAAAATGTTTGTCATATTGTTTGAAATCAAAGAACTCAAAGAGCTTAAATATTTTCTAGGTATAGAAACAGACTTCAAAAATGAATTTTTAATTTCCAAAAAACTATGTTATATATATTTTCAGAGAAGTAAAAATGACCAAATATAAGTTATGTGAAACTTTAACTGAACTAGGTTAGAAACTGAACTTGGATGAAGACTAAACTGAAGTTGATATTTGGATAAATATCATATATTAGTTGAAAAATTAACCTGCATATCTCACACACGCTTTGACATCATTTTGATTGCAAGTCTTATTAATCAATTTTTATGCAAATCGAAGAAATCTCTTCTTTAAGCTGCGTATAGAGTTTTTATGTATTTAAAATCAACTTGAAAAAGTGATTCCTTACAAAAGATATGGAACTTCAAATTAAAGTTATATTGATGAAGAGTATGTAGGATCACAAATAAATTGGAAATTTATTTCATAATATTGCACATCATTAGAAAAATATATGATAACATAGATAAGCAAGCAACAACCTATTATTTTAAATGGATGTGGATAAGCATTTCATTAAAGAGGAACTGGAAATTTGTTTGCTTTGTACTTTGTATGTTTGAATAGAATGTCAGTTCTTCAACATATTTATTAAAGGGCTTTATAACTATGCATTCAAAAATATCTTAAAGCAAATTTGGAGCGGTAAATCTCTACCAAACATGTGAAGTGTTTGAAGTAGTAAGATTGCTAAATAAGAATTGAAAAGAGTGAGAAATTCATGTGCTAATATGGAAAACTATATGCTATAGATTCGTGTGTTTACCATGAAAAACGAAATGCCATGGATTCATGTGCTTACTATGTAAATCACTGTCATGGATTGCTATCTATTCGCACTAGAAAAAATTGGAAGTTTTGGATAACAGTTTTAATTTTTAAATTCCTTGTCATTAATATTTTAGTTTTTTAGATAGTTTTGTGTTTAAGCGATTATTGAGGGAATAAATAAAGGGAATTTTCTATCTACTTTTTTTTCTATATTATCCTTGGTGTTCAACAAAACTGATGAGCCAATTTATAGATAATGATTAAAATTGCTTCTGCAACTAAATCTGTTATATTACATTTTTTTTTTCCCTCCATCTGAGGCTTCTTTCATACATAGATGCATTTGAGAAGAAAATTTCTGCCAGACCATCTGGAGAAGAGAATGAAGAGGATGGCTTCAGAGATTTGGTGAGGCATTCAATGTTTGAGAAGGGTCAGAGTAAACGCATTTGGGGTGAACTTTACAAAGTTGTCGATTCTTCAGACGTAGTTGTCCAGGCAAGCGGCCATTTCCTTTAATCTTATAGCTTTATTGATTAATTTGATCTTAAAACTTTTAATTTGTCCATATTTGTGTGCCTTTTTTTTTTTGAGACAACACTTAAAAGATTTAGAATGCTTCTGGCCACATTGGCTTTTTTTTTTTGTTTGATTTTCTTTTGGTCCTTGCAAGCTTTTTTTTTTTAATCTTTGTTTTATTGTTTTTTGGTTTCCTCCAAGAGTAAAAAAGTATTCTTGAGAACGATTTGTGATGGATAGGAGATCCATTCAAATGCCTTTTTTCCAAAAGGTATTATCCCCTCAACTCTATTCATGACATTCCTTCGAAAAATATGACCTTTTTAGTTTCATAGTTATTGATAATTATGAAAAATATATACTTAGTAGTAGATTTGATTCATTACAGGCTATAATCATACGGTTTGTGGTGCTTGATCTCGGCAATTCTCTTGGTACCAGATTGTTTTTTGCACTTGGAAATAACTTATTTATTTTTGTAAAATGCATCTTCATTGATTAGGGATGGCTTTTAGGTTAGTTAGATCAACTTGAACATGAAATTTTTTAGTTTAGTTAGACTTTAACTCTACTTGAAAGCAAAGTACATTTTGAGTCAAGTGGGCTCAACTCGACCTACCTCAACATAACTCAATTTCTAGTCAACTCAAATTCATTTTGACCGAACTCGCAGTCTTAAACTTTTAGTCCAAAGAAATTGAATCATTTATTCGTGTTGATTTGACTTGAATTTAACTTGAATTTCCTTGAACCAAAGTCAAAATGTATGCATAATTTGCTTGAAAACCTTAGACAACTAATGAAAACTGAAATTATTACAGTTAAATAAAAATTAAGCACATTTTATAGTTATCATAAATTGATTTTTAATTTAATAAGTTACAAAATTATACTAAACAAATAATGAATTTTAAGTGAGAATAATATTGTCTGAATGTTATATCTTACATGATTGTCCAATTTAACCACACAATTGAAAATTTCCTCGGTTATCTCTCCAAATACATTCTTGATTATCCATAAATGATTATCAATTCTTTGTGCTCCATTCTTTTAGTTTTCATGAATAGAAAGTGTTCGTTTTACGAAATGCAAAGAAAACTATTTATTATTGATGCGATTTTGATTGAAAAATATAAAGTATATGTTAGTAAAAGAATTAAGAGTTTCGATGAGAGAATGTCATTAACAAACTCATAGTCAAATCATACCTGAAATAAGTTCTCAACTATAAAATGAAATATAGTTTAGATTAGGCAATTGCCATTTATGTAGTTTTTTCTTCTTATGAATGATGAAGACAAGGCATGATAGTTATGTAATTTCGAAGGACCAAGTAGAATATATGTTCCTCGTCTGTTTTTAAATGATAAAATATAATGAAAGTTAACCGATCAATAATTTGCTTATTTTATTATAAGCGAAAGTAAAATAAAATAAAATGTTGTAACAAAAAACTAGAATTTACAGTAGGCGTGGATAAAGATCAAGTGCAGTATCTATACCTTATTTGTTTTAAATCTCAATATGTAGTAAAAGTAAACAAACTAATAATATGACTTTATTATGAATATCAAGAAATAGTGTAGCTAGTTACAATAAACTAGATTTCACAGTAATTGATTTAGAAAAGGATGTGTAATATCTCCTTATGAATTCCAGATCATAGAATAAAATAAAATTCAAGAATTCAGTAATATGGCTATTTTATGAATGACAAAAACTAATGTAGTAAAACATAACGATATCATGATCATTGAAGATAAAAAAATCATATGTAATGTTCTTTAATGCATCAATTTTAATCACAGGATATGACAGAAGTCAATAAACTAATCATGTGACTTGTTTATGACTAACTAAAACTTATATGCAAATAAAAAAAAATCAATTTCTTAGCAAATGAATATATAAAATCAAATGTCATATAACTGCACTATTCAATTTTATATCACATGATCGAACAAAAGTCAAATAACTAATAATGTGGTTCCTTCTCTATGTTCATGTTTTCCTTGGTCCTTGTTGACTAAACGAATAATTATCACCTCATAATTACTTTTCGTGTCATTCACATCATCTTATAAATCAAAACGGCTGTTAATACTTTCAACATATAGAAAATAAAAAACAGTTATTGGCTCTAGTTGCATTCAGACAACAGTAAACATGTATTAGCTTAAAGGAGTTCACAGTTGGAAGTGGATATAGTTAACCTTTATAAGTTTTATGCAACCCTGACATAATTTTTTTCAAAATTTTCTCTTGCTATCCTTAATTTAGATTATCTCAAATTGTTCTTCCTCTTCACTTGTATTCTTCTTTCTCTTGTTGTCTAATTCCCATTGCCACCATCTAAAACAAAAACAACTAAGACAAGTTCATCGGGCTGAATGTTGACTTTTGTCTCTATCTTATCAGTATCCTTGGGCTTTGAATTTTCATTGACTGAGTCAACAGTGTCATCAATTGCGTCATTTGGGGGTTTCATTGCTAGAATTAGGGAAAAAAAAGGAAAAATATTCTTGATTTCTATTTCGCAGGATATGTCGAGGGTCAATGGAAGAATTGAATGAGATGGACATTATGATAGGAGACAAGAAAGGCTATATTATTGTCACTATGTACAACCACTTTTATTACTACATGCGTTGTTCAAGGTGTCATTGAATGATGATTACTTTTTATTTTTATATTCAAGTTAACTTTAATCGTTATTCAAGTTAGTTGAAATAGTTTCGAAATTGTATTTAGTTTAAAAATTTATTTGGAATTTGACTCAAGCAAATCCAAATCGATTTCTAATTTAATAAAAATTCTAGTCTCTAGCTAAATAATTGTCATCCTTATCAGTTAATGATGATAGTCATTATATTCCGTTTCATTAAATTGTTATTTTTGGAAAGTGGCTCCTATTTGAAAGGATGGGTGTCTAGCCTTTGCCTTGGGCACCAGTCGAAAGGGGTGAGCATTTAGCCCTTACTTTTATTGAAAACAATGATGGATTTTTGTTCTTAGTGCCTTGTTAGCTTTTTTAGATTTAATAGTATGTCTTGTACTTTAGGAGTTTTTTTTTGGCCTGCGCTCACTTTGTGGTAGTTTGTCCTGCCACAAAACATGCAAAAACTAATCCAAATGAAGGCCTTTACAAGTATGACTTGAGTCATCGGCTACTAAATATTATGTGGTTTGTTTTGTTAATTAGGTGTTGGATGCGCGGGATCCACTTGGTACAAGATGTCATCATTTGGAGAAGCACTTGAAGGAGAATTGCAAACACAAACACATGGTTCTTTTGCTTAACAAGGTTTGCAATTTTTTCAATTTTGTATTGAAGAGTTTACAAACTTGGAGCAGATCTCTGTCTTCTCTCAACTTATTTGTATCTTTAGCTTATGTTTATCTATGTATTTTTAGTGTGACTTGATTCCTGCATGGGCGACAAAGGGATGGCTGCGGGTATTGTCCAAGGGATATCCTACTTTGGCATTCCATGCTAGCGTAAAAAAATCTTTTGGAAAGGCATGATGTTGTGCTTGTCAAATTCATTTATCAATCACCCCCTTCTTTTTTTTCCCTTACTGTTTGTTTTGGCTGTTTTACATCAGGGATCTCTACTTTCCGTGCTGCGACAATTTGCTCGCATGAAAAGTGACAAGCAGGCCATATCTGTTGGATTTGTTGGCTATCCTAATGTTGGGAAGTCATCCGTCATCAACACTTTACGTACAAAAAATGTAAGATTATGTTTTAACAAATTATAGCACCAAAATTGACCAATTTTTCTGAACAGTTTACTGAATTGGTGCTGATCTGCTAATTTTCACATATAGATTTTATTGATTAAATCATACATATTGTTTCCTTATAAATCTTGCTGATTAATTTATCAAATTCATTTTATTCATGTGTCTCCTATTATAGGTTTGCAAAGTGGCTCCCATTCCAGGAGAAACAAAAGTGTGGCAATACATTACACTCACCAAGAGGATCTTCTTGATCGATTGTCCTGGTGTTGTATATCATAACAAAGATTCTGAAACTGATATTGTCCTTAAGGGTGTGGTATGACACGGCTTACCCTTCTAGAGAAATTTTTGTTCATCTGTTTTTCCTGCCATGAATTATTATGCTATTATTTTGAATGATGCTCGAGCATTTTATTAACTGACAATACTTCCAGTTCCAATCCTTGATTGCGAACGATGCTCCAAAATATCAATTCGAAATATTAATTGCCCAATTGTTTTTAGTTGGTATTATTATTAAGCATTTTAGTTGCTTGGAAGGCAGTGGACTTGTCCCCCAGTTGACCATATAATCTGCTCCGTAAATCAGATTTGGGTGCTAATTCCAATGGTTAAATAAGCGGTAACTCTTAAATGTAGTGTGATTTATTGACACATCAGAATTAAAAGTGCTCTAGTATCTAAGTAAGAATATATATTGATAAGGTATTGTTATTTATTTGTTTATTTATTTCAATAAATATTGATAAGGTATTGTTATTTATTAGTTTCTTTATTTCAAAAAACATGTGTGCTTAGGATATTCCTTACCACCTAAACAGAGAATACCTGGAATGAACGATATACAGATTTGGTTATGATAACTGATGGGTTAGTCTTACTTATGAAGATTTTAGGATGCAAATGATTTACAAATCCAAACAATAATGTTATTAGTAAAGATTCCTCATTTTTTATCAAATTTAGTTGTTCATGCACGCTTGATGTTAGTTATGAAATCCCGACTGAGGATATTCTTTACCAACTAACCAATAGAGCTGCAAATGAATATAGCTGAGCCAAGGAGGACATTATTGAAGCTTGACCACATTTGTAAAATTTGAGCTCGAGCTAGAATTGAGCCGCTGTTTTTGTATTTGAACGTGGTTTATCTGTCATCATGTTTGTTCGTGCTCAATTTGAGGTCGGTTTGTGTTTGGTTATGTGAGAGTAATCTAAGTCATTACTGAGCAGCTCATTTATCAATGTAAAATGAGTCTTATTGAGTGGATTAACGAGTATAGCTACTTGATTTCTAATCAAATAAGTTTTACGGAGCAAATTAACAAGTTATACTGTCGAGCTACTTGTTTTCTAATCAAAGCTGCTTGTTTTCTAACCAAACGAGTTTTATTTATAAAATTAAGGAGTAGTAATATCAAGCTATTTGTTTTTAACCATGCGAGTTTTATTGACCTTTTTCGACTTATAAATGAGCAACTTGTTTAACTGACATAAATAAATAAACGAGCCTTTAAATAAACACATTATTAAACGAGCAACTAAAACAAACATATAAATAATAAACGAACGACTAAATAAATTGACATTTATTTTGTTTTATGAAATAATAATTAGTAATTTAAATTAGTTTAATAGAAATGAGTTTTAAATCAACTTTTAATTGAGTTTATTTTTGAGTTTTAAATAGATTCACGATCTTGTTCATGAATTTTAAATGAAACTATTTCTCGAGCTTCTGAATGAACTTTAAATAATATTTTTCGTGATTGTAAACAAATAAATAAATAGAGTTATTTAAGATTATTCAATAATAGAGTATTTATAAATTATTCAAACTTGTTTGATTAGTTAATCAATTGAACACGAACGAACTCTTATTGAGCCGAGCTATGAGTAGCTTGTCAGATGCTCGGTTTAGTCGCAGTTGTGCTAAGTAATTTTCATCTCACAAATATGCAACCCTAAATTATGTTACATTTATATTAAAGATATTTAGTTGGCTATTAAATAGAAGATGAAAATGCATTATGAAAATGTAATGACTCACCAATTAGGAATGAGATTTCGGTGCAACCTGTAGATTGTAACCAAATGCCTCGTTAATAATGTTTGAGGCTTTAGTGTGAGCTTTGGGGAGTAACCGAGAGTGAGTAAAGAGGAAGCGGGGGAGATGAATGAGGTAGATGTGTGTATTCTGCATTTGAGCGAACGGGAAGAAGGAAGACGGAACTGTGCAGACGAATCCGACAGCTTTTGATGGTTCAATTGAGAGGCTGAGAAGGGGGAGAAGAAGGCAAGCTCAGCGTCAGGGGGAAGTTCAAGTGAGCGCTCTTCCACTTGATCTCAATCTATTTTAAAGCAGTGATAGTCGTGTGTATTGCAAGCACACAAACATAGCAGCTTAGGCATCGTCCAGAGAGCACAAACATGGGAGCACGCGAGCAAATCACATGACGGCCGATAAGCCAAGCTTGTAGTTATTGTAGTTGAGAACTATGATAATATTTGGCTTCCAGGAGTGAAAGGAACCTAGGCTATTGCAATTTTGGCTCTTGAAAAACGAACAAGGGCGCTTATAGGAGCAGCAATCACAGAAGCCGTGTCACGTGCGAAGCGGGGAGAAAACTTTGGGTGGCGTTAAGGACAGAACTAAAGGCTGAGAGATACATTTATTATTTATAATAATAATAATAATAATAATAATAATTAATTGAATTAAATTTTTAATCTTGAATTTCATATTATATATAATTTTATTAGATTGAAGATTTAAAAGATAAATTATTTATATATATATATAATTATATTACTAATGTAAAAAAATTGAAAAAACTAAAGTTCTAAAAAGTCAAATATATATTTTAAGATTAATATTATAAATTTAATGTATAATGAGAAGCAAAATAAATTTAACTCTTAATTATGTAAAGTTGATTAAATTTAAAATTGAAAGGATTTCACTCTTAATTAAAATGTTGTCATAGAAAAAATTATTTATAATTAATTATTAACTAAAATACAATTAAGTGATGTGATTAACATATTTTAATATGAGTATTTTTTATAATTTAAGTGTTCAATTGAAGGAGTTACATTTTATGGAGTAAAAAATATGGAAAACTTTAAGGTGAGTACTCTTATTTTTTACTTAAAAGCAACATTTAATTTTTTATTCAACCAACTGTATTGATTTTTAGTGATCTCAAATTATCCAAAGTTTGGTGAACCTCCCAAATCATGTTTTCAAGATCGTTTGAGTTTATATTTGGCTCCTTTTTAATCTACATATATGGTTAGTATTGACTTTATGATCAAAAGCCTAGTGTAGCTTTCATATAGGCTTCTTCAAGTTCTGTGTAGAAATATTGTCCATATTCATCATTGTATGGACCAATTAAGATTGGTTTTTTGTGATGATAGTATCCAGTTTTCTTTTTCTACTTTGCAACTCGTGCAAAATTTTCTCCATAACTATGATATGGCCTTTTGCAATGAGCCTAGTTGGTTCAAATATGAAAGAAATCTGTTGAATGGAACATTACTTTTATATAACATTTATCATTTTTCATTACCTTTTTTAAACGAGTCTCAAGAAACTTAATGTTTGTTAGAAAAAAACAGTTTCTTATTATAATCTTAAAAAGAAGTCTCTTAGAAAGAAACCTCTTTCTTTATGCATAATATCTGTCCAACTTCGATGCCAATCGCTGAAAGAAATTTATATGGCATTTCAATGTCACCGAAGATCCTTTTTTAAATTATTGACAGGCTAAATGTGGAAAATATGTTGATGAAAGTATTACCTCTATTAATCTCTCCAAGATATATTAATTAAGAAATTCCAGAACTTGAAATGCTTCATGGTCTCATTAACTTTATTTTTAGGTTCGTGTTGAAAACTTGGAAGATGCTTCAGAGCATATTGGAGAAGTTCTCAGGCGTGTCAAGAAGGAGCATCTTCAGCGAGCATATAAGATAGAAAACTGGTAGGCTGTTTTAGAGTTACAGTTTATTGCATAATACTATGTCAATGATTCATGCGCATTAATTTTTTTTCCTGATGTTTTCCTTGGGAAATACCTTTATTTATGTTGAATTTATGTTGATGAAAACATAAAAAGCTTTCGAGAACATCATTCTTCGAGAATTTTTATGCAGTATTTGAGTTGAGCGCATTCAACCTGAATCCTGAATTAATACTGGAACTTTTGTCTTGGGACTGGATAAGAAGACTAAATCTAATGCAGGTTTTAATAATCTTATGAATGCGAGATTGGTTCCTTCCTGATAATTACATCATTTATGCATTTGCTCATCTATGTTATTTTTCCGCACACAGCAATGATTTAAATTTTGAGCAATATATGAAGAATCAACGAATAAATGTAAAGAGAAAAGTATCTGAATTTGTATACAAACTGAAATGTTTCCTTTTGATGATCTATTCACCTCATGAGCTGTGATTGATTGCATCGATTTGTTGATATATAAATTGCCTGATTAATCTATTATTTTCATACTTGATACCATGTTAGATTTGGGGCGTTATGAATGAATTGATTTCAATTATAGATTTTCATTATTATGTTCAAATCTTACATGCTATAAAACTTCTATTTTGACTTTTGCAAGTTCTATCTAAACAAGTTTTTTATCGAGCTAATGATTTCATTTGATGAATTGTATCAAGCAAAATGACAAGTGTTTCATTTACATTTGCACTTTTTTGTCAGGGTGAATGAGGAAGACTTTCTTGTCAAGTTGTCCAAGTTGACCGGAAAGCTTTTTAAGGTAAGCTCCTATTATTCGTCTAATATATTTTTTTTTATTTTAAAATTGTATAGGATTTTATCTCTTTTTTTTGTGGTATCTACTCTTGTTTCTATCAATCATATGCTTATTCCAAAAAGTAATTAATTTTACCCTTCAATTTCAGGGAGGTGAACCTGATCTGAATACTGCTGCAAAGATGGTCCTCCATGATTGGCAAAGAGGGAAGATCCCCTTCTTCGTGCCGCCGCCACCAAAAGAAGAGGAGGAGGCTGCCGGCAAGTTCGACACATCCGATGCAGTCGAAGAACCGATCGTAAGCACCGATCGAACCGCATCGGCCATGAAAGCCATCGCAGGGATTATTGCGTCCCAGCAGCAAATGCATGTTCCCAGCCACAAAGATTTCATTGATGGTGGTGGGAGGGGTGCTGATGATGGTGGTGATGGGGATGAAGAAACTGAGAATGTGAGGCTGGAGCAGTCTGGTCCTACTAATTCTTGACCAGCTATTTCCTCACTATGCCTATTCTAAACTGGTTGGGAATGAAAGATTTTGATCTGAATGGAGCAGAATTTTTATTTATTCATTATTTTTTTGTTCAAGGTTTATGAGAACTGCTGGGCTGCTAATCGACAATTGGTGACTCGAGTTACGATTCTTCTACAATTAGCTTGTCTGATTAAGGGTGATTGTTCAGAAATTTCTTATATTCGTATTGATAATGATTTTTGAGGTTTTTATTGTATGAATTGTACTTGTTCTTCGGTTCTTTAGTTTTTTTTATTTTTAGCATGAGTTGTTTGGGTGGTGTTCTCTTATTTGATCGCTACCTTCTATTTTTTATTTTTGATGAATAAAATCTCATCCAGGATAAAAAAAAAAAAAAAGAAACCGCTAAAGTTAAACCAAAGGATTCTCTGATTCGAAATGCTTTGGTTTTTGTAGAGGATTCCAAAACTTCATAGTAAAGAGCGAGATGAGAACGACTTCGATGTGCTAGAAAATATTAGGTCAGGACTTCGGATCATCCGAAGTTCAATAAACAGGCATCATGTGTAAAGTGGACTCATCACAATACATTGTGATTGATCTACTTTACATGTGTCGCTCTCCTATAAGACTCCGCATGCATCCGGAAGTCCTTGCCTAATATTTACTCGAGAGGCTTGATAGCGAGGAGCGTGTTGATTAAAGATCGACATTGACTTAAAATTCAGTGTAAATTATTATTAAATTTAAATTTTGAATTAAATTAAGCAAGCTCATAATGAGCTAATATAAATTTATTTTTGTAATATTAATTAAAACATAATTTTAAACTAATTAAAAATAAATTAAAACATTAATTTCATGATTTAGCTTGAAGAGTAATATAAAAATCAAAATTTAGGTGTTAGATATGAAAATACATAAGAAATGGGTGGTATATATGAAAATGCCTTTTAAGACCATCCAAGTTTAGCACGTGAAGCACGTTTATTATAATTATACGTTGCAATGATCAAAGCCTCCACGAGGCAAACCACTTCCTTACAAAATATATAAATAAACCAAAATAATATATAATTTTTACACATAGACCCAATAATATTCATAATTGATATTTTCTATTCATAATAGACGCAATAACTGTAAATTTTATTTATAATATACACATAGACCCAATAAATGAAAATAAATAAATAAATGGTAGAAATAGTCGCCTAACACTAGCTGTTGAGGAAGATGCCAGTCAGTGCCTGCACAGAAAAAGAGTGTCATTTCCATGTGCAAGTAAGATGGTAAAATTAAAGTTTAGGTATTAGATAAATACATAGGAACTGAAGGGTATGTATGTAAAACTTAATAAAAATTATTAGGTTAGTCTGCCAAATAGAGCTATCAAAATGATTCGTTATTCGCAAATAAGTTGTGTTTGTGTTCGACTCGGTTATTCGCAAATAAGTTGTGTTTGTGTTCGATTTGTTAAGAAACCCGTGTTCAATTCTTTCGCTAAGTTTATGAACCAAACATGAATAATATATATATTTTTTTTGCTCGATATATAAACGAGCCGAACGCGAATCAACATTTGTTCGTTCGTGTTCCATTTTAATACTTTTTTAGGTGTGCCAGATATAGCACACATAGAGTTTCGTACGTAGAGCTGCGTCCGGAGTCTGACTTGAGACAACATGATAAGATGAATAGAATAGAAGAGCAAGAGGCAGGGTTGCGGAAGAAAATGACCTGAATAAAAAGGCAGCACTGAGTGACTGATATATATATATATATAGTTTCAGCCATGGAGAAGCTTTCTGGGATCCAAGTGGCCGCTGGACTAGCTGTAGGGAATAACAGAGAGCTGCTGCGTGCCGGTCCATTCTTCTCCTGCCTTGAGGGTGAAAGGATGCTCAATAATGGCTGCCTCCACGCACACCATACGCTTGTATTCATCGTTCCCAAAATCACTCATGGCCTTCGCTTTCTTATCCCACGGATTCCATACAGCTGTATATTACAACCACGTAATGGTCAATAATTATTATCTTTTTTTTTATCATTTTTTTATCTGATTTCTTTTCTGCACATGATCAATCATTAACATTCAATGATGACATGCTGACAACGGTTTTGATGGGTTGTAGAGCGATTCATGATGGCGTGATTGTATCTAGACTGTCGTCCAGACATACGATCAGCCGCACGTAATGATTTTTTGATATAGATCATACTAACCTGTATCGGGCAGTCCGGTTTTTCGCACGATGTATGTTCTCCTCTTTTGATGATCTCTTATTGCTATGGAGTTTGGCGTATTTAGGTACATCTTGTCAACCTTTCTCCCAAAAAAAATAAACATTTTGTAAAATTAAATAAGAAGCTAAGCTAAGAGAACATTCATCTACTGTAAAAACATAAAAATAAAGAGATAATTAAGTATATAACACTCAACATTGCTATTTGTAAATATAACGCTCACTCTTATCCATTTTTCGAACTCTCACTCAAATGTTAGAATTCACGATAAAAAGCAAACCCATCATTTTCTTTTCTTTATCAGATTCTCAATGATTTGATTATGACATGACCGAGACACGAGTTAATGCATTGGTTTGGTGCTTTAAAAAAAAAATTACATTGATGATAGTTTTGTAAATAGCAATGTTTCGAATGATGTGTATGTAATTATATCAAATTAAAAGGAAAATCTTCAACTTACTTCTGATTCAAATGTGAGAGAGTTTCCTTGTTCCGTGAAAAGTTGTTCACCCTTCAAATTGTCTAAGTAATATGATGTCTCCAACCCCTCAATCCGTACTTCACTGAAAATAGGATAACACATCAACCAAGCACATAAATGGAACCAACATTCACAACCCTAATCAACAAACAGGAAGGAAAAACAACTGTGAATAGGGCTGGAGTTCAGAAATTAGAATCTTCTTGAAAGTAAAGGATCGAGCATATATAAGATGTTCTATTTTCCAACTACTATATTCGATGTGTGATCAACAAATATAATCTTTTTATTTTTGCAAGTAATGTTTTGATTGAAATTAAAATTCACTCAGAATGTTGATTTCAACAAACATATGGTCAAACAAAATGGATCAATGAGATGAACCAAATGATACAAAAATCAACCCCATATCAAATCATTGAACTAGTTTTGGAAGCTTTTGTTGGTTATTTGGGGATTAAATGAACTCCAAATTTGATGCGCTTAGGGTTAAAGCGAGCGTTTCGATGAGAGGAATCCAATGAGCCGAAGGTCCCTTGATTTTGTGGTCATTAAGACAATATGATCATTATAAATTTAATCTCTTATGTTCAAGGGGAATCAACTTGGGTCGTTTAGTCGGGTGGTTATGGAGGTTATTCACCGAAGGATGGGCCTATATATATACCCTCTCTCTTCACTTGAAGTGAGGAAGGAGGAAGAAGAAGAAGGATCCCATTTCCAATTTTGTTCTGGACTAAAAACCCAACAAAAACTCTTGATCTTCGTAGTCACTGACCGCTGCTTTTCAGGCATCGTCGATCACTATCGGTCGCCCTCTACTTGTTGTTGTTAGTGGACTTATGGAGTAATAAAATACCTTGTGGAGCAATGATGTGCATTACTGAGTAATAACACATATTGCAAAGTAATGAAATACTCTATTGAGTGATAAAGTCTCTTACATACAGAGTAACACAATATTCTAAATATTGTGCAACAACGTACATCGAACACGGTGTATCAAATACTTTGTGATAACTACCAGCAACAACTGCTTTCTATCATGGTGCAATAAACTTTTTTATATATGAACATTGTACTTGGACAAACCTTGCAATCATTTTTAGGTTATGGTAGAAGGCTTTATCTTTATACTTACAAACTTATAGTAGAATGTTTCAACTGGGTTAGGCCCCATGAATTTTTTCCTCTCTGAACTTTTCTACTTTAAAAATTCTTAGTGTCTCATTCTGTTTTTTTTTTATTATTTGTGTATGTGTCAGATTTTGTGCAACTCTGAATTGTTAAATTATTACTTTACCACCGTAAATTTTTTGACATGCAACCATACTCATTTTTTAATTTAACTTCTACAATATAAAAGGAAGGCTACATTAACTTCAACCCCATTTCTAGAGCACAAGACATCTCCACAATGTGGTAGTTGGTGGCAATTGTGTTGACCATGAATCAAAATTCGTAAAGAATCTGTTCAACTCAATGAAAATGACAATCAATAGGCCATATGTCATGCATGTTTATTTTTAAGAACAATACAAATATCAAAATCACCAAATTACCGCTTATTTTGCTAAGATGTTCTTTTAAAAGTCCAGAGCCACATACTTACCTACGATATAGTGGTTAAGAGTTTAGTTTCCCACCGGAAGATTGCGGGTTTGAATTGTGTATATTGTCTTTTGGGCTTAATTTTAACGAAGGAATAGTTTAGAGCCTCAAAATTATAAAAAAAAAATAGTTATCGTTAAAGATTTGAGTGGCATGGTGATGACAATCATGCATATTCAGTTCAAATTGCTTCTATTTCAATGAAGTTACATTCAAATGTTGTCATTTTTAAAACATGTTTTCAATAGATATAAAACATATTGCCTTTCGATCAAAAGTGCTCTCAGGTTAGTAAAGGCAAATAAGAAACAAATGATGTAGTATTGCCATTTAACTTTATGTCATAGATTTAGAAATAATGGCTAAGTTCAGGATTATTTAAAGTTCTAACTTTTTGTTTGTCCCGTTGACCATTAAAGAAACATTTAAGGTTGAACTTTTGCCATTAAAATGCACCTAAGATTTTATTTTTTTTTTAAAGATTTGTAGTAAGAAAATAAATATCATTAGCTAAAAAAAGATATATCCAAGCATATTTAGCATAGTGAATACAGTGACATCTACATGAAAATCCCAAACTGAGATGATTGTTCCACATTATTAGTGTTATGTTTATCTTGGGGGAGGAGCACAATCATGCACTTCCTTGTACTTTGTTGGAGCATGTATATTAAAATGAGAAATAAAGAAATTTGCATCAAAGTGGCATGTTTTGGAGTATTATTATAAAAAGAATTTTTTCTTTAGTCAATTGGATCATGGAGCATTTACTTAAGAAAATAACAAATGAAATAGCTCCCAAGAATAACAAACAACATTAAGTAATAAAGTGAAAGCAAGCTCATAAACTCACCAAATATCCGAAATAGAGAAGTAATTGTGGAACCCAAATGTAAATGAAAATGACTTTCCATCTCTATTGAGGTTTCTTATGCGTGCTATATGTATAATATCACCACCGGGTGTCAAAGCAACCCTCAATCGAAACTCATAACTGCAAATACAAATTAATCATGTGTGTTTTTGGAAAAGAACTTTGGCATATAAATGGATGAACATACCTATACGGCCAAAATCTGAATTTTTCTTCATGTGGCTTAAGAATTAAATCAACAAAAGCTCTATAGTTGTTGCTTTCAGGCAAAGGCGGTGGATTTTCATCAATAGCCCAAAGTCGGTTCCTTGCAAAACCATGTGGTTTAAGCTTTCCAAGTCGTCCAAACTCCATCCATATTATATTTAGGCAAAAAGTCAAAAAAAATAAAAAATAAAATAAAGTTAAATGACTAGAAAATTGTATGATGGCAATTAAGGTGATACTTGTGGAAAACAAATAGGGATGCCGCCCTGTATTGCATCTGGAGGATTGAACACAGCCTATAAAAGATAATGAAATGCATATAATTAGAAAATCTAAGAGATTAAACAACTTGGGAAACTTTTACTGTGGTGCTAATACGATTAGAATTTACCATGTTACATAAAATAAAAGGTAAATAAATAAAGATCGTAAAATGTAAGGGGGGAAAAAACAAATGCTAATATAATAAGCTTTAAATGTGTAAATATCAACACATTATGGAGATAATCAAAGTTTAAACAAATGCACGATAGAAAAAAATTTTAAAGATAACAAAATATCGCCAAATTATAACTTGAGATGATAAACATGTATCAAATTTCAATATATATATCGTTTCATTAACTTGTAACAAGTGTTAAGAAAATAACAAATTAAAATGTTTTAATTAAAGCTTATGACTTGCATTAATGAAGATTAGAGGGAAAAGAAGCAAGCTGGAATAAAATTGATTTCCTTAGTTCAAGAGCATAGATGCTAGTTCTACATACTAAATAAGTTTACTTGCTCATTGGTTAGATGTAACAAGAGAAACCACAATTGGTTAGAGCCTCTTACCTTAAATGTGGCATTTAGAGTGAATTCCTAAATGTTGATTTAATGTTATTGCCTTATAGAAGAGTTAGTAAAGTGGCTGAAATTCTTGGCTAAGTTCAAAATCACTTTCAATTGACTTATCAATTCATGGCTAATTGGATCAAAATTTTAATAGATTATTTAGTTTCATATCCATCTACGATATGCCTAATTTATCAAAATTCTTGTTTCTACCTTCTACTTTCAATTTATGATATTGATTATTTAGTTTCATATCCATCTACGATATGCCATATTTATTTGTAATTTCTAGTTTCCCTACTTTTTGTTAAATTTTTATTTCCTCTATAATATATTATAGTTAAATAAAAATTCATGAAATCATATATCATAAATTTATGTTCTTAGTAACCTTTTTCAAGTGAAATTCTTCAGTTTTACTCAACAAATTGAAAATCCTAATAGAAATCCTAAACCTAATCTATTCAAGATAGAACCAACCTCTATCGCTTTCAAATTCTAATTCTATTATCAAATCTTGTCCTAACTTAGTTAAGCAAATTAGATCAATACTACACTCAATCTCATTCAAGTCATGCCTAAATTTAGCCAATTTGAACTTTTGTAGATAAATCATGTAAAACAACTAGCAAGAATTACATGTTATGAAAAAGACTAAATTCTTCTTCTAAATCACCACTATCCATATATAATTATCAAGACTAATTAATTTTCATCACACAATGATTAGCTTTTCATCTTAACAATGTAATATGAAGAATCGACACCACTAATAACCTTTATCATACTACCAAACAACTAAACTTTCTATGATTAGAAGCCCTTAACTTTTCCACATTCAAATGCCAAATTCATGATCACCATTAATCAAATAACATCCAAAAGAGATAAATTTTTATTTTTGGTTATACCATTTTATTGAGTATGGATAAAAGAAGTTTGACAATCAATTCCTTATTGAGGTATTATTTAAAAGTAAAATAAAAATATCTTTCATTGTTGGCATAGGGACTTAAACTTAGGTTTTGAGTTGTATCTTTATAATGGAGTGAAGTTTTTGGGAAATGGAGCAAGTATTAAACCTATCTTTCATTAGAATTATCAAAGATCTTTGAGTGTGATCATTAATGAAAGATATAACTCACCTTATACTAGAAATATTGTTCGCCTAAGTTAAACCCCAAATATTACTGATAAATTGGGTTTGAAAGAATACCTTCCAATGATCACAAACACTAGAGTCAATGATCTATAATTGTGTATTTTTCTTACATTTGAGACACTCAAGATCATACTTTTTTGAGAAATTACATTGATGATGATTTTTAGTGAAAAAGATTTTAGTTTGAGATAGATAACTTAAGGTTTTAAGAAGGCTTCTTCGATACCAATATTGCCATGTGAACTTGACTTAAGGGAAGAGCAACACAAAAATCTGGGAAGCGCAACACCAAAATAGATTTCACTTTCAAAAGCTATTTCATGTTTGATTATCATTATGGTTTAAACAAACAAACTCCTTAAAGAAAAAAATAAGGAGGACTTTCATATAAATCAATGTTTTTTTTTTCACCTTTCATATGATCTCATACAACTTAGATTGTCATGCCCTCTTATTCAATTGCTGAAAACAACTCAAATAAAAGACAGTTCCAATAACTTTTTGAATACAATGATTGGATACAAGCTTATGCAAAAGCAAATCAATCTTCAGGAACAATTAAGTTGAAGTTTATCATAATGCCTTAACACTTATATTCACATATTTCTTGTATTTTGATAATATAATTCAACTTATCAAGATTTTTTATAAGTCTCAAATTTGTGAAAGCTAAAATATTAGAAGTCATAATAAGTCCAACCAAAAGGCTTGTAAAAAAAAGATATGTAAGAGTATTGGTCATAAGAAGGTTTCATAAAAATACTTCAACTAGATTTGCTCAATTAAAAATAAGTAATGTGCCAAATCTAAACCACTTGCTACGCATAAGAGCATATTATGTTACCTTACTACTGACAAAAAGCATCTCTTCTCCACGATTATTTTTCCAAGATGTAACATGTGCGCCATAGAGATAAACCTACAAGTGGATACATAAGACGTTGATTATGAAAATACCAAATATATATATCTTACTTGAAATGCACAAATGGCTTACTCTAACTATCTAACAAGCCTTGTATTTAATCTTAGTGATTGTTATTGAAAGTTGCAACATCAAACATTTGAAAAGAAAATATTATCTCAACATCCTAATAACAATTCTCAATCATGTAAACTTGTACACATTGAAAACTTACGAAAGCATAATCATAGAAAACTATAAATATGATATCAATTTTTGTTACATGTTGATGCAGTAACATAAAAAATCCATGCTTAAACCAAATAAATGATTACAATAACAAGTAGACGACAATAATTATGTACTCAAACACATTTAAAGAAATCTATATTAAGAGAAAAATAAACAAAGCTTTTGATATTATGAACAAGGAGTGTATCTATTATGTTTTGATAATGAAAGGCCCAAATGATAAGTTTAATTAGGTTGTAAAATGTGAATCATTTAAATTTTGTATTGCTCTTCTTTTTACCCTCTTTTTTAGTTTTCTAAGCATCTATATTTGATCTTTTGACTTCTACTCTTTCTCATACTAGTTATTATTACCAGCTCACTAGGTAATGCTTATACTTGTTACAATGTCAAATAGTTTTTGTTTATGTGGAGGAAGTTCAGTTTTACTTATTTAATGCAGGATGTATTTTACGAACACATTTATATGTTGCACTATGTTATAGGCTAGGTTTTTGGATACTAATCTTGATTTATATATTAGTCACAAAGGCTGGTTTATAAAAATCATGAATAAATTTCTAAGTTAATATCTAAATGAATCCCATAGAATGATAGAAAAATACTGAAACAGACTAAAAAATAATTTTAAAAATTTAAAGTATAATTTTCCAACCAGTTTGAAAACCAAAATCTATAACCTTCCATTCCAATAGAATGACAACTACAAACTAAAATACTTTAATCAAGCTAATGAAACAATATTGCGTGTATGGAAATATTAGTTCAAACTTCATTTTCTATTTCAGTGCCCATCATAATATGTAGGGTACAAACATTCATTTATCCTCCTAAGTTCTCATAGTATTTGAGTTATTGTCGATTCATTTTTCATTCTCAATTGTTAGAGCTAATCGCTTCTTAGAAATGCTCCTCTACGTGCACATTCTTTCGCTCAATAATAATCTTATATGATACTTCCTGTCTTTCATTACTAGATTTAGTAATTCTCAATAAAATTTTTAATGTATGATTCGAGTGCACCAATTAATTAAATGACCATTTTACTTCATGCTTTATAGATTTAAGCCAAAAAAAAAAAACTCACATTGTGCTTGGCACTTTGAAAACATAGCTAAAAATATAAAACTATATGGTACACAACAAGATTTTCTATGGCGCAAGTTTGAGGCATGCTCTTAATAGAAGATCTTAAGGCCAAATGGTTGCTTTTATAATCAGGTGTAATATGTTATATTACTTATTATTATTTACCAAGTCATTAAATCATTTTATGCAACATTACTTAAGTTCTAACATGTTAAAGTGTCTAACAATAATTTGAATATCTAAATATGAATGACAATAAAGCTTTAAAACTCTAACACAAATCCCTGCAATATATATATATATATATATATATATATATTTAAACATGGAAATATTAGTTTAAATTATTGTGATTTATCAATAACTTAATAAATACTCATGCATCTAAATTATAATGGCATAACAAAAAAAAAAAATAAGAATACATGCTAGTTAAATATAATAAATAGGAGTTAAATAAATTGACAGTTTATATTTCCAATATGATCATTCATGAATGTTCAGAATATTTATTACAGCACATTATATCATTTTTATATCTATATTATTTTATATAATACATTCATCATAGAAGCACCTTCTAAAATATATCATTTAGTTACTTTAATACCAATATCATATTCCATTTTAAATTCTGATCATCTCCAATTATATCCTAAGGAAGGTGAATTTATCAGTTAACATGCACAAACAAACATTCGATATAATTCCATATCATTTGATATGTTTCCATAGTAATTAGTATATACAATAAATAGGTTTAAACAGGCTTAGAGATTTGTAGCACACATTTTAATATGCATTTGGTTTTGAAGAATACATGTTACTACTTAAAATCACCTCAATTTAAGATGAATTCTTACTTTTAATTTTTATTGCCTATTTATTTAATAGAATGCCTATAAAGATATATTAAAATTATTTTTGTTAAATAACTTAATTTAAGATTAAATTTAATCTCCTCACTTAATAATATTTTTCCATTAATTAAATAGAATTTTTTTTAAAAGTTGTTTATATTATTTAATTAATGAAATAATCTATCACTGCATTTAATTGAGGCATTTCTAATCAACTTTTCTAAAACATAATTTTATTTTTTGGATGAGTTCAATTTAATATTTTCTTGGACATTTATAACTATAATTCACAATTTTACTCTGCATTAATTTAATATTTTCATACCCTCAACTCTTTAATATCTTAATAAATTATTAATAAATACTATTAATTATCCTATTTTCAAATAACTTTAAAATTTTAATAAGATTTTAAATTTCATTAAATTTTTTACATGCATATAATATAAATTATGTCCTTAACATCTCAAATTCTTATATATTTTATTATAGAATTTTTATATTAGAATCTAATGTTAAATTATCTATCTATCTTATATATATATATATATATATATATATATATATATATATATATTAAGGCCCTTTTATATAAATAAAATCTAAGATAACACAATAATGTTCTATTGATGTTTATCCATAAGCAAAATCTCGGTAGAAACTTACCCATCTCGGTCGACACAATGAAACTTATACTTTGTTATTCACGTGCCTCTACACCTGGTCTGTCGACTTGTTTGAGTTTGCACACCACTCCTGCTCTCACTCATATGCTTAAATCCCTTTGATTTCTCCTCCACATCTCACCTGCACAACTCTACTCTCCACCATACTAAAATAATTGACTCGATTGCTGCTCGATTTGTTCGAGCCAACTCAGTCATGCCCGGCTCAACACACTGCCTTCACTCATGATCAAACTCAATCCCTACCCTTTATGCCTAAGAGATATATGGATGGAAATTCGTTTAGGATGACAATACCTCCTTTTTATAGAAGTGGAAGTCAAAATTCATGCAGAAGTACGTAATCATGCAAATTTTCAAGCAAGGAACTACCTAACTCTCTTCTTAGTACCTCAATCTTAAGCTATCAACATTACTGTGTGATTGATTTGTGGGAACATTGCAACCAAAGTTGGAGTAATATTTAAAAATGATTTAATCAAAATTTATAGGCTTTCAAAAATTGTTGAAATAAAATTTAATAAATTTCAAATAATGTCTATGAAATTTTAAATAAGACTCGAAGAAGATTCAAATAACATTTAGCGACTATTAATCAGATTCATCGCCTCAGTTATGAAATCCGGCCAACGATTCATCTTAAATTTTGATTTAATGATTGAATATGGTTCGAACATGTTTTACGCGGTTCAATAATAATTTGAGTAAAATTTGAACAAGATTTGAGCAAGTGTTCCATCGATATTAGATATGATTATGCTGGCCTTCATACATGCTCCACATTTCTACATTATAAAAAGCAACAATGATTATAGAAAACTATAAACAAGAACTGTTCTATCGCGTAAATTAGGCTCAAAATACATCTAATATACACTTTAGTGTGTGTGTGCGCGCGCGCGTGTGTGAAATAAAAAACTACCTTTAAACTTCCGCTCTGTTACCCCAGCAAATACAAATGAATTAAAATTTCCAATTAAAAAAAAAATTAGTACTTATCGTAAAAGAGATGAAACACGAATAAAATAGATGAAATTCAGAAAAATTTGATCTGATGAAGCGTTGCATATAATTTTCATTTTTTTTTTTTGTTTGATTGGATTCAACCTAAATCCAATTCAAAATCCTATTAAAATTGTGTTATCACAAGAGAAAACATTATATCCGTCGTTCGGACGTGCAGAAGACGACATGAATTACACCACACTATGCATGCTTCTAACAGTATGCTATGATCATGCCGCCGGCTACACGTTCTAATTACCAAATGTAATATTTTCTCTAACAAACGAACCTCAACGGAACATCCTCTGGATTCCGTCAGCACCACCTTCTCCATCCCATTGATGCCTCTGCAGCGCTCCACCAATGGCTTCTCTGTTGCCATCGCTCTCACAAATATCATAACAAAGCACTAAATTTATCAAAATGCCGCATTATATATATTAGCGGTTTTAAAGCCGCAGGGTGGGCCCCTAAAAATAGAATATTAAAACCACCATATATATATATATTTGTAACGGAGCGGACGCTTGACGAGGACGGTGACAGAAAGCTTCGTATCTGTTTGTTATGTCGCCATCTCCATGCGATGCATCCGCTCCAAAGCTATTCATTTTCCATTTCCAAATGCGAGATCTCTTCGGCTTGTTGCTTAGCGTTCTGCTATTTGGAAATTGGAAGAGTGTATAGCTGCAGTTGTAGATTTATGTTAAGTTGTATTTATCAAATTTGTAAAATCCGACAAAGCTTGGCGGCAGAAAAATGGATATTCGCTTCTACCCGAAGCCTATAGCCACTCTCCTTCTCCCAGCAGGCTTCCGCCCTTACCCTACCTCTGGTCGTCTCGACCGCTATGAAGTTACTGACCCGGTGATGGTGGCGCAGATGTTTAGGTGAGCATCTCACGCGCATTGCTCCACCCGTCGCTTCTGGCGGGTGGGCGGTTCTGGATATGTGGAAAGGCTGATAGAGGGAGGCTTGATTTTGGACATGAAAATCCTGTCTTCATTTCGACTCGAAATCCTAACCTTGATAAGTTCCGTTGTTCCGGCGAAGTTTTCACATGGTTAGGTTTTTAAATTTCTTTTTTATTCCCGATTATTTTTAGTTGTTTTACAGGGAAACTTTGAAAAAATCCAAGATCATAGCCTAATAGTCAAGAGCTTAGGAGGCCTGTATGCATAACCAGTTGCTAAATTATGAGTTTGGATTCTTTATTGTTTGGTTTCTGTGGTACCTGCATGGTGATGATGTCAATGAAGTTATGAAACATTCAAATGTTTTGCTAGCTTTTGTCCGAGCTAATTGACAAGCACACAAGTCATTTCTTAACTTCTCCTGTTCAAAAATTTTTTTTTTTTTTTTTTTTTTTTTTTTTGGTTCTAGCAGAACTTGTGGATTCAATTTCTTATCAGAAGTATGCAATTCTAATAATGTATAGCATCCTGTTGAAAGTTTGTAACTACAAATTTTTCCAAACATGGTGGTCGGATTCCGGCGCCTAGGCGCCAACATTGCTCCAATTGTCTTGTTTCACTTCGATTTCGCTCTAGTTCGCTCTAATTGCTTTATCTATTATACTTGCACAAAAAACATAAAAGTAGCTTCCTTTAAAATGTAATTTCATTCATGAACAAGTATAAAAAGTAAATGAAATTAGCATGCAAAAAGACAAATCACATGACAAGTTTTTCTCTCCCCAATTTTTTTTGTATAAATTTTTTGTTTGATTTAAATATATAGATCTAACAAAGATACAAAATAGCAGTTGGCTATCTTCCATGTATCTTTGAGAGCTCATCTTTAGGTGCTCAAGATTTTAAGCAGGCAATCGTCACAAGAATGAGTCATGATTTTTTATGTATTTCCAGCAAATCTCTATCATCCGACATGAATCTCGAGACATGATATAAATCTCGAGACGATTTTTTGTGTAAGAAATATTTAAATCTTGATAAAAACTCATCAAGAACTCCGATTTTAGCAAACTTATAGTCAAACTGATCGGCTCAACAAGAAGAACTCAGTGTTACCAAAATTAATCTAATTCGATACAAATCAAGTCAGTAAACCACTTTTATCGGACATATTTATAAGGTTTAATGAATGTCGAATCTAGCAAGTTTATAGTCTAATTAAGCGTCTCGACAAGACAATTCTAACGATTTCAAGATTGCTCAATTCCGACATCGTTAAGGCGCTTAAATGTCAATCAAACACCGTCTGATCGAAGGAAGCTCTCCGAACCATCCGATCAAAGTGGCTTATATTCTTGGATTAATTTCACCCAGAACTCTATAAATAAAGTCTCACCCCTATCATGAAAGAGGGCTACCTATCACCTAGTAAACATTTCACCTAAAACACTTTATAGTGTTCTGGATTAATTTCACCTAGAACACTATAAATAAAGTCGACCGTTGACTACCGTCGATCACCACCAATCACCGTTGACCACCACCGACGAGAAGCTGTCAGTCGACATTTTAACTTGGAAAACCTAGTAAACATTTTCCGTCTATGGGACAATGGGTCTCTGTAATCATCAACCTATAGTGAATTTTTACATCTAGGTTAGACCCCGTGGTTTTTTCTCTTTACGGATTTTTCCACGTAAAAATTTCTAGTATCATTACTGATTGTTCTCTTTTACTTGAGTGTGTGTTGAATTCTCATGCAACTATAAGACAATCAATTACTCTACTGCTGTGAATATTATAGCACACATCAATTTTCACCATGGAATAGTTTTAGGACGCTCCCAACATTAGCCAAGTGAAGGCACGTCACAACTTTTGCCAAAGAAAAAAAAAACCACAAAATTTACCTTGGCATCAAACAAGGTGGGAAAAAGTGAGAAGCCATTGCAATGAGAAGGATGATATCGTGATAAGTTTTATAGCAATGGTTTAACGCTTACAAGCTGCATAACTACTCTCGTAATTCTGGTAAATAAGTTTGTTTACATGATTCTTGTACACCTTATGTAGCTCTGCTTTCCCTTTTTTTTTTCCATTTCAACAAACTCTGAGCAATTCTTGTGTTTTTTTGCCAATGTTAATTCCACCGTCCTTCCCAATATCCTCATTGTCATATGGCTCGTAGCTCTCTTTGATCTCCTCCAACCTTCATTGCTGCGGAGCTTCTCCGTTATCTTGTCTGCCATTAATGATTTCTTCAACATCTCCCTCAAAGCTCCTAATATTTGCTCCAAAATCTTACTCCATTCATCACTGCTCCATTTACTTTGTCAACTTCTGCTTAGCATCCAATTCTTATGTATTTACATATCCAACACCTAAACTTTATGTTTTACATTTATACCACCCCAATATTTCATATCACAATATAAAATATCACCATTTTCACTTTTTAAATACACATTTTCATGCGCAAGTAAGATGGCATGTATGTAAGAATTGAAGTTTATATGCTAGATATGTAAATACTTGGGAGCTGAGTGGTATTTATGCAAATATTTTTATTTAAAAATGCTGACAGTAATAAAAAAAGTATAATCCTAGTTTTAAAAAATATATTTGAATCAAGAAATTGAAAAATCTAAGATCCATCTTTAGTTCCAAATTCTAGATGTTAGCTGCATTCCTTTATCTTTTTTGTTAACACATACTTCTCTGAGCTTTTGCATCATAATGTAATGTATTAATGCTCATGTGCGTCTGGATATAGTTCATGAATAAAAAGCTCCTGAAAAGCCATCATTGTGTAGGTTTGAAAAAGATGATGCATTAAATGTCATCAAAATAGAGGAAGCAAAAGGAGTGCTTCGATTGGTACCAATATGGCTTTTATGCTTAGTATATACTGCGGTTTTTGCACAGTCATCAACCTTCTTCGTCAAATAAGGGAGCACCACCCTAGACTGTAGAATCGGTTCAACATTCCAAGTTCCACCTGAAACCTTGCAGATTTTCATCAGCATCTCCATTGTTGCGTTAATCCAATGTATGATCGAATTCTAGTTCCCTTATCCAGAAATTTTTCCAGGATTCTTACAAGAAATCACACAACTCCAAAGGATTGGGGCAATTGCAGCCATTGTTCAGAGCAAGAGATTGAAAATTACCGAGGACTATGGGCTGATAGATTAACCAAAGAGAGCAATTCCAATGAATCTGTGGTGGTTTGTTCCACAATATATTATTTATGACATCGCTGATGTGTATACAATGGTGGAAAAGATTGTGCCCTTTTATTTTGGCAGAGTGCATGCAATTAATATTAAGTTTATTTACTGAGAATGAATGGGCTGTCAGCTGTAAGGAAGTTGCTAATGCTATTTCTTATTTGTAATTCTTTGAAATGGATCAAGTTATTAAAAATATATGCCATTTATTGGTTGTATATCATCTCACTCATTTTTCCTTATTCATAACCTCTAAGGGGCTTAGATGATAAAATTCAATTGAAGGGCATTTTGCATATATTGCATGCATAGGTTACAGCACCTAAGTGCTATGTTTGTAAATATGAAAGATTAGGTGTGAGATATGTTTGTTTTCGGTTCCTTTTTCTCTTTTTTATTTTAAAAAAAGTCATCGGTTTGTCGATCGTCGTTTAATTTCCTCTCCCGAATGAATCTCTTCTCCGGATCATATGAATGATCAGGAGAATGGAGTAACCGGAAAAGATGGACATATGAAATGATGGAAAATAAGAGAAAAGAAAAATTTTGAGAGTCTACAAGCGATAAACCTCACAGGGATAAATCAAACATGTCTCCCCAAACAAGATCAGGAAGAAACGACTTGTATTAGTATCCACGAAAGAATACCTACGTAGACTACCCATAACCAAAAATTCAGGTTTATGTGTCTGTTCTGAGGTCAAGAGCTCTCCCAAGGGGACGTATTCTACTTTATTAATTAAATTATAGGAGATACCCAATAATACTGAACCTAGGGAAAAAGGTCAACAAATGAATGTTATTATGTGTGGGAATGCTCATATGCTTCAGAGCTTTCGCTAAGTCATTGGGCAAAGAGCGAGTCTCTCACTTCCCAAATGGGTAATAGCTCATCGATACATGAAGCCCACAGAATTACCAAAATCATCCTAATAGGGATATCACAATATGTCAGAGCATGTCCGGGCCATAAGGGCAAAAGACAAATTGTCATATCACAAGTGGGTGACAACTCATCGACATCAGGCTAGCAATATGATAAAACAAAGTTAAGCAGCGACACAAAGCTCAAAGGGGCTCAACAGCAAGAAAAGTAGAGTAATCCTAGAAGGTAGAGGTAGCTGGGTCGAGTACCATGGGTCTGTTATCCAAAACCACTATGACCCTAAGTGTGCCCAATCGTGAAGGTAGTCGTCCCAACACGTCTTGAAATCCTCGATCAGCTATCCGTAAATTGCATCGTCC